AAACACATTACGCTAAACATTAACAGACATTATTATGTACCCAAAATAATTAAAAAAGGCTAGACAACACAACCTAGCTCTAAAGCAATAACACTGCCTGGCACTAAATGCTGCCTAATCACACCTGTCATAATTACACTGCTTGGCTGGCAAGGTTATCAAACTTGCTTAACAAATTATCAAGACACACTACTTTAAAAACATGGAAGCAACATCATTTAAACATATATACAACTATAAACAAATATGACTTTATAGTTCACATATTAACATATTTTACAACTATTGAATGACAGATATATTTATCAAAAACTATGAAAAAAAAATTAAAAATTATAAATAAATTTATACATACAAAATGTGCTCACAACCTTTAGCAGTAAATTTTCGAAATGAAAATCTAAAAACTATAAACTAAGAACATTAGAAAATATAACAATATTTATGTAAAATTTTTTACCTACTATACCTTGAATAAGATGTTTATCAATTTTGAAAAACAAACTATTAAATGCTCTAGTTCTTGAACATGCAACATTTAACCGTTAGAGAAACACGGTTTTTAAGATATTTTTTTTGTCTATATATTTAATTTTGCTTTACGTAATATACGGACGATCCCTATAGTAAAATACTTGAAACTAAAAGGAATTCATTTATTGCAATATTTGAACAACCAAAGGACAATTTAAAGAATTATATCTTTAAATAGCAAGCAACTCGTATATATATCTTATAAATGGTCATTATAAATTGCAGTATTAAATAATACGCAAGAGCTCAGTAATTACATGAATTTAATCAATTCTCCCTGTACTAATTCTTATTTAAGTTTCATTTAAGAGAGAGAGAAAGTGTTTTAAAAGCAGCATATTAGAAAAAGTAAAAAAGTTATGCAATAATGGTTTTATTTTGCTACCAATAAACTAACTTATTTTTACCTTAACTAAAAGTTAATTTCCAACATTTCTTAATTAAGTTTCAGCTTCTCTCTAATTGTTTACAAATGATTAATATAGTAAATTTCACATCATGTTAAATTTACAAAATTAAAACCATGTTTCAACAATAATCAAAATAATCAAGTGATGACAAAGACAACTAAAAAAAAATAAACACAATTACATTTGAGGTTACAAAAACAAAAAAAACAAAAAAAAATTAAACCATTTAAATTTGAAACTGTTATTATCTGTTAATATAAATATTAAAATTCATACTTTGCTTTATTTTAAAGTGTCAAACATAAAATCAAATAATAAACATTAGCACCGCTTGACACTAAATTCTGGCAAAGAAGTTTTCTGTTCATCAAGCAAAATTTATTATATTTAAGCGAAAATTAATTTTATCATGCCTAGATCTATTTCTTTCATATGACAACAATTTCATGTCACCTATAACCAATTACACTAGTAACTTCTTCAAGCCTAATATTATACATTTATTATCATTAAACACATTACCAGTGATTATACTACTGTTACAACTGAATAGATAAACGTTTTATATTTTTACAACTAAAAAATATAAAACAAAATTTATTTACATTAATTTAATTTAGCAAATAGTTTAGACTACAATGCAAAGTTATTTAAACCTTCAGGCACAATCTTAATGCACAAAAATAATAAATTCAGAATCTTGTATTAAAAAAATGAAAGAATGTTAGTCTAAAGTAATATATGTATGTATGTATATATATTCGAATTTTTCTATTCTTTTTTATTTTTTCTTTGAGATAATATTTATATAGATACAGAGAAATATAAAATATACTGATATATAGGCACATATAATTTAGCATAATCTAATATAAAATAAATATAATCTTCTATATAATATTGCCGAACTTAATAGTTTTAATAGTAGTGTCCCTTGGAGCGTATTTGACACGAAACCCTTGGCAGCCGTTGCAACCGAGGTATTGGCAAGAAAGAGTCGCAGCGCTATAAGAAAACGTGAACGAACATCTAACGTACGTAAACTTTGACTTATGTAATGTTAAAGCATATGTTAAAACATACTGAAACATTTATCACGTTTTACAGTTTGATTTTTACTTGAAAATTACATTGCGTCAACCTCTCCTTAATTTTGATCTAACATTTTTTTCCTCAAAAAAATTAGTAAATTATTATAAAATCTACACTTGATGATACGCCGGTGTAGCTCGAGTGGATAAGGCGGCGAAGTTCTGAACAAGAAACTAGAGGTTCGACTCCTACCGAAGGCAGTTATTTCTTTTAATTTTTTTAATTATTTTAAAATACAAAATACTTTCAAAGTTTTATAAAGATTATATACAAACATATGTAACGTAACGATATTATGCACTCACAAAAGAAATGATTTTAAGAATGCTAAAACTTCATAAAACATTAAAAAAAAAAAAAAAAACATCACCAGGAGAAAAAATATGTTGCGTATCTATGATAATTGAGACACTTATGTTATTAATGTGCGAATGTAATTAGTCCTAATAAGCTGCGGATGGTCTGAAAAAAAAGTTGTCTGAAACTTAATAAAGAAAAAACTTAACAAGACAGCCCTGCTACTTCATAAGATGCTGCTGTGGAGGCAAAAAAAAAAGCCTGTAGTTAGATAAAACTTTAAAACTTTCTTTTGACAATTAAAAGTTTATTTTGCTACATTAACTTTTTTACTATAAATATATGCAGCAACTGTTTTTCAAAACGCCTTAATATGCTTATGACGAAATTCAAAAAAATACCAATTAAAAATAAAATTGTTTGGAAAAACTCTTCGTAAAACGTTTTTTGAAACAAATAACTTTTATTTAGTTTTTTTTTCTTTTGTGCAACTTTCTTTTCAATAAATTTCTTTACCTTTCAGAATATGACCATTTTTAACAATGCTATAGAAAAAATATCAGTAAGCTGATTAGTAGTATTTCAATTATATTAATTAGATTAAATTATATATATTAAATTATATATTATATATATTAAATTAAATAGATAAATAAATTGATATTTAGTTATTACATGGGTATTTTTTTTTTTTTTTATACTTAGTGACAAAATAGACTAATTAGATAAGTCGTTAAGTAGAATGCTAAGAATATATTTATGGCAGTTATTGTTGTTAAGGGTGATTAATAGGCAAATAAATTAAAAGCTAATCAGGGCCTTGAATAAATTATAAACTAATCAGGGAAGTTTTATTGGTAAACCTAATAAATAGGAAGATAACATATAATTCAGGTAGACATTGTTTTCACTTTTTCGCAAAACTTCGATATCTTTGATATTAAAAAATATGACCTTTCCAATAATTATAGATGGTAGTGTATTAACCTTTTTTTTCGGAACCACAATCCGTTATGATTTGTATTTTATCAATGTGAACGAAAGTCTATTCAAATATCTAAATATGTTAACTTTAAGTTCTTTAATTATCAATCAGTATTATTATAAAGTAGATGACATCAAATTCTACCGATTTATTTTTACTTAATAATTTCATTGCGACAATATCTCTTTATTTTAAAGCATTAAATGTTGTTTTTTAAAGTTTAATAAGTTTTCTGTTTATTAAATAGTGTAAAAAGATGATATAGCATTCCACAGCGATTGAAGTGCTTCGCTTCGGTTCAAAACCTTTTGCTTACACAATTTTTTTTTTAAATCCTATCCAGTTTTCTGGAAAACAAAGAAAAACAAGTTTAAATGCATATAGATGTTATACGCATTACATAAAAATAAAGATATAATATACTATAAGAAACCAAACGGAGAGAATTTTTTAAAACGTTTTAAAAAATTTTTAAAAACATAAAAACGCTGTTGGAAATTTGTTGCGCATATATCATGATAAATTTCTTTCTTATATATATAAAAAAAAGGTTTTACATGCAATCTGAAATTTTTATTAAAACTAACTGGTCAAGAGTCCTAAAAAGTACGGAAAGGTATGAAAAAAAAAATTGTAATCTGAAACCTAAAAAAACAAATTTAGTTACTCCAGAAGGAGACAAACAGAAAACCCACAAAATTTCGCCTAATCCGCTAATAGAAATGCTCGAATATTAAGATATAAACAAATATTAAATGATTTTTGTATTACGAAACGTACGCCAACTCTTAAACCACTGTAAAACTACCTTGCGGTTATCTAATTAAATCCACCAAATCCGTTAATAAAAACAGCTTAATTAATAGATTCAAAACTATCTGATTTTTGTATTATGATATGTGCGCCAACTGTACTCTAAAACCAATAAAACTCGGCCATGTGGTCTTCATATCGATTATAACAATTGCAAAGCGAGGGACGACAAGTAAGTTGTATCTACAAGTTTAATTATTGTAATCTTCATTTAAAAAATTAAACTTATTTTATAATTACCATGTTAATATGTTTGAAGTTAATATGTTTTTGACCCAATCGAATAAACATTAAGATTATTTTTTAGAAATGAGCAGCCAAGATACAAAAGGTATTCTTTTAATTTTGTATAACATTAATTAATTAAAGAGATAAAAAGAGATGATACGTCAATAATACTGAGATATTTAGCTTATTATTTTATTAAGAAATTACATTAAGATAATTTTGTATATCTTTAGGCGACGAAGAAGTTTCTGAATTTTTTCGAAGTAAGCCATATATATATACTATATATAGTAGCAGTTACATATGTTCTAAAAGTGGCGGAGCTGTACTTGATTTACGGTGTGAATAAAACGATGATTTAATTAGCCGTTTTTATTTAAAATCAACCAAGATATGCCGCCCTCCCCTAACCCCGTGAATCAAGTACACCCCCCTAAAATTTAACTAAAATTAAAAAATATATAAATTAATTTTTAGAACTTTAAAAGGGTGGACCCAAAACTCAGTTTTTGTTTATTCCGCTATTTTGATTGATGTTTTTGTAAAGCAGTGAACCTTAAAAACGCGTATAAGCTTTATTTAAGGTGTTTAAGCTATAATTTTATAAAACGTTTTCAAGCTAAAATTAACTTTTAAGTCTTCTAACTACTAAACTTTTACGTAAAATGAAACTTTTTGTCATTTACTGAATGTGTTAAATTATAAAACTGTGCAACAGTTTTATAATTTAAGACAAATCTTATATGTTTAATTAAAAAAGTAAATATTTTGAAAATTAATTTTGTCTATATATATATTAGATGTTCAAGAGATCAGAGCCGAAGAGCTCTTGCCAAGTAAGCTAATTTTGTATAAGAAGAATATGTTACAAAGATATATATTTCACCAATTTCAGCAATTTGTTAATTATAACTTTTTTTTAATGTTTAGCGGAAGTAATGGACAAGCTAAGTGAGGAATTTTGTTGTTGTTTTTTGTTTTTTTCTGTGTGCAAATACATTTATGCTTTTTTAGTTTTTTTAAAGTTATTTAGCAACTGCCTTTTGTCAGTTGTGACAGTTTGTCAGTCAGCAAGTGACTTTTGTAACTTTTAAATTTATTTTATTTAGAAAAATTAGAAGATTCTGTTGAGAATCTAAGTAAGCAATTTGTTATTGTTGTTGTCATGCTCTTTATTTTTTTTATTACATATTTATTTAATATAAAGTTATTCTATATTTGGCAAGTTAATTTATTTTAATGTTTATAAGTTTTTCATTTTATTTAGAAAAAATTAGAACATTCAATGGGTAAACAGAATTTGATTATATTACATTTGTGTATTATAGATAAAGATATAGCATTTTACTTTCAAAAAAAAAGGTGTATTCTATGGTCTTTTAGCTTTTTTGATAAAAATTTTAGCAAAATTTTTATCAAAAAATTTTGCTAAAATTTTTTTTTTTTATAGGGCTTATATTTCAACAACTTAGTAAGTTACTATATTGTTCTTGTGGATTGTTTCTTTATTTTTATTTTTTTATTTTTTTGTCGCTTTTTTCTTTTTTGGTTTGTTTTGTTTTGTGATTGTTATTTTTGCCTTTTGTTTTGTCCCAACTTTATTTATAGATTTCCTAAAGTTGACAAATATTCTGCATGTTAGTTTCTTTCCTAATGTTAATGAGTTTTTTTATATTCTATTTAGAAAATTTAGAAAATTTAATTGGTAAGCAAAGTACACTTATGTTTCTTTTTGTTTAATTTTAACACACATTTTTTGATGTTTGTGTGCGGTTTTATCACTCTAAAATAAACTGTTTAATTGATTAGTATATGTTAGTTTATGTAAATATATTTTTTACCTCCACTATAGCGTCATCTGCAGTACCATCAGGTAATGTGTTTTGCATTCTTATGCAGTTTTAAGAGTGTTATGTGTGTTAAAACTTAAAGATAGCATATCTTAATTTACAGATTACTTTATTTATTTATTTTTTTGTCTCTACATTAGCACCTCAAGCAATAATATCAGGTAATCTGTTTAGCATACTTATGCAGTTTTATGGGTTTTATGTGTATTGAAACTTAGGCATTACTGTTTTCATGCCATTACATAAATGTTTAACATATGTTACTTTATACACTTTTTTTTTTACCTTTACAATAGCATCTGCAGTACCATCAGGTAATGTGTTTTGCATACTTATGCAGTTTTATGGGTTTTATGTGTATTGAAACTTAAACATTACTTTTTTCATGTTTGTTATCAATTACATAAATGTTTAACATATGATACTTTATACACTTTTTTTTTATTTTATTTTCACAGTAGCATCAATATCATCTGCAGTACCATCAGGTAATGTGTTTTGCATACTTATGCAGCTTTATGAGTGTTATGTGTATTAAAACTTAAAGATAGCACATTAACTGATATAATTTTATAAAATTTGATAAAAGTTTTTTAGACATAACAAAGTTAAACTCTTCAACAGCTTCTAAATATATCTGAAACAACAAATTCCAAACAAAAATTAATTCTATATACCTGAAACAACAAAAATCCTGCCTACACTACTGGTGTTATTGTTTGTCATCCTGTAATATTGCTGTTATGTTTTGTGTTAATAGACAGCTTGGCTTACCTTCACGTTGGTGTCTATTGTTAAAAATGATTATTGGGTAGCTTCATTACTGAAACTTACTCCTAATCATTCACTAAAAGCCAAGAAATATTTTAAGAAAAAGCCTAATTTTTTTGTGTCAGTAAGAATTTTTATCTTTAGCAATGCTGATAAAACTGAATTTTTTTTTTAAAAAAAAGAGTATTTCCAGCCTTCCAACCAAATATTAGAGACTTTTACAAAAGCACTCTCACAAAGTAAGTGTCTAATATTTATTTAATATTACTAAATTTCGTTTCGTATTTTTCATTTTTCAAATGAATTAACATAAAACAAATAAATTTGCGTTCAGTGTTATTAATAATGATTTTATTTCATTTTTAGATAATGCTTTTATAATCAATTTAAAAGTCTTTCAAATCGTTAATCATTTTCTAAAGGCGAAGAAAAAGAATCATCAATCTTCATACTATATAATAAAGCTATTTTAATAAAACGCAATACAAATTGTTGTAAATTAGTATTTGAATAATTTTCACGTTGCTACCTTATTTTGCAGTTTCCTATCACTTTGTATTGAATTAACTAAATCCAATATTACAGTTCCTTATATCAAGTACTTCACATTTTCTGTTTTTGTTTTATGCAGAAAAACAGATCAATTAATTTATTTGACTTGCCTAGCTACTTATTTTACACGCCTAGCGACAGTGAGAGTGCATAAATCAACAGAGTATTTGGGTTTGGGCAGGTTGTCTTGAACTAAATGATTTACCTTCTTCATGTTAAGTTCTAAATATAAATATACGGAAAAGGTGCATATGTGAATTTTTTTTTTTTTTTCTAGCACATAATCTATTGAGGGAGAAATAGAGATAAGGTTAATGTGGAATAGAGTTTGTCCTTTTAAGTGAAAAACTATTTTATAATCTATCTATCTTCTATATAATAATGCCAAACTTAATAGTAGTGTTAGTAGAAAAAGTCGCAACACTTTTTTAAGAAGAAAACGTGTATGCAAATATCTAACGTACGTAATTAAGTAATGATAAAACATAATGAAACATTTTTCAAGTTTTATACTTTGACTTAAAAATTGCATTGCTTCAACCTCTCCTAATTTTTTGATCTACAGCAATTCCGTTAAAAACAGTTTTTATATATTTTTAAAATTTCGATATTTGTTGTGTCAGCATGGCCGAGTGGTTAGCGCGCTAAGCCTCTGAACGTAATAGTCGTGGTTCAAATTTACCGCCAGCAATTTTTTTCTTTAAATTACAAAATATTTTTGTAAATTACAAAATATTTGATTTTTTTCTTTAAATTACAAAATATTTGTTAAACAAGTTAAATAATATACACTTTAACCGTTTTTTTTTTTTTTAATTTTATAAATTTTTTGGATTTCTTAAAACACCAATAAACGTGGCGAAAATTTTTTGCGTGTGTGTCACGATTTTGATACTGTTCTCGCATAATTGGTCCTAATAAGCTACGGATAGTCTTAAAAAAAAGGTCCTAAAACCTATTAAGGAAAAAATTTGATAAAACCGTCCTGCTACTCCACATGGTATTGCAGTGAAGGCAGGGAAAAAAAAAGCAATTAAAAGGTTTTTTGTTATATTTAATTTTTTGCTATAAATATAGCCAGATTAAAAAAATTTAAAAAAATGTATTGAGATTTTTTAGGCGCGGATTTGAAGTCTTGCACAGCGACTCTGATGACTGCGCACTTAACTTGTGAGCTATCAAAGTTAGGTGCTTCAACATTTTTTTAAAAATGTAAAATGAAAACAAAATAAATACCATAAGTAAGAGCTAAATAAGAACGTTTAAAAATTACAAAACTTTTTGTTATAATATTATTAATTCTTCAACTTTTAAACCACAAAATTTAAAATTTATTTTTTTGCATGACTTTTGACGCTTTAAGCGACTAACGTTTTAAAGAATTGCATTACCGTTTCCGTCTAATACAAAGATAACTATAAAAGACCGTTATTATTCAAAACTAAGCATATAATAATAATAAATATAGTAAACTATTGAATATGGCTAGGACGCGACCATAAACCATGGTCCATGGCTGGTCTAAAAGTAGGAAGTAGTTTAGTTCAGAATTTTATAAAAATAAAAAATAAAATAAACGGGGTTTAATAAGCTATATACGCATGCGGAAAAAGTGCGTATGTTAAAGTTTTTTTTTGCTCTTAAAACAAATTTTTTTAATGAATTTTTTTTCACAGTTTACTAAAAAATATTGAAGTAAATAAAGAACAAGTAAAGAAATAATTGGCGTGGAATTGATAAATATAGAAGTAGAAAAAAAGACCTGTATTTACCGATACGGACAGCTAGATTAAGAAAATAAGGCAAAAGGTTTGTGTGGAATAGACTTACAAAGACCCGTATTTTTACGGGTCAACTCAGCTAGTATCTTAATATAATTCTTCCAGTTAACGTTTACCGTTGAATGCACATGGTTACGTCTATTGTTCAATCTTAGTTACGGTTCTGTATTCTGTAAAAAATTCGCTAATAGTTTCCAATCTACTTCCAAAACTTCACGAGGCAAGCAATGAACATGGTGTAAGCTTATATTTTTAAAACTAAAAGTTTAATTTTAATAATAAGATTAAGTTGTATTTACTTTTGAAATGATTGGATTAGATTTTTTGTTTGTTTATGCTCTAACTATTTTCCATTTTATTTACTTTGTTTTATTTATTTACTTTTTTGGTTTGCTTTCATACATACTTTATGGCTTTTCATAAATATTTAATATAATATAACTTTTTATTGAATAAATGAGTTTTGTTTATAAATATAATGTATAAATTTGATTTTGTATGTTTTTATATTTGTATTAAGATATTTGCAGTAATCATTTGTATACATTTTTATTTATGTTTTATTTTGTTTAGTTATTTAGATACTTTAGATTTATTTATCTAGATACTATAAGCAGTAGGCATTTCCTTACATTTCTATTTATTTACATTTAGATTAAAATAAAAGTTATGTTTCCCAATTTGTGATTCAGTTGATAACGAAAGAAATTGTAGAGGTTTATATATCAAACACACACAAATATATATATATATATACATATATATATATATATATATATATATATATATATATATATATATATATATATATATATATATATATATATATATATATATATATATATATATATATATATATATATATATATATACATATATATATATATATATATATTTTTTTTTTTTTATACTATATACTATATATTCTTAAAAAACTGAATTTGATTTAGTTTTCACATTTATTCTCTTTTTTTTTTTGCTCGTAAAAAAACTTTAGTACACATTAATTTATTAATTAAAAACAAGAACTTTAAATTTGTTTTCATGCTTCAAATGAAAAAAGCTTTATTACATATAATAATAGCATTTTGATAATAATATTTATTATTTATTTGATCTCTCTCTCTCTCTCTCTATCTCTCTCTCTCTCTCTCTCTCTTATATATATATATATATATATATATA